TTTTTTTATAATTGGATTTCCGTTCAGTTTCTTTTTGTTTTATACAATTCAAAGTTGCAGACATCTAAGTTAGCATAATAGGACCCAGTCATCAATATTACCACAAAGAAAGTCTGATTGCATTCTCTTTCTATTGTTAGGCAAAGTACTTATATATACAATTGAAAATTTTCCCTATGAATTATAGCATCGTTTTTTCTTATTTTTCTGTTTGGCATTTGTTTCTGTTGGACATCGAAATCTGGAAGTTTTGCTGTGTTAGGCAAAACAAAATTTTGTGAAGGCAACCCATTTGATGTCAAAAGATATATTCTATGATTTTGTATAGAATATTAGGTTCATGCAGTGTGCTGGGGCTGTTGGAGATATACAACCCGTTTGGTTGGATTCTTTTAAGTTAGAAGGTGCTATTATAGCATTTTCAAACCAACATTGATATCTTCCAGGAGGCATTGCCATGCTGCAGTCCAATAGAAGATATGCGGGAAAGTGTACAGACCCACATGCTCTCTATTATGAGACATATCAATTTGTTTACAGTTCAGAAAAAATTTTGTTTTGTAAATTTTGTGGGACTTTATTACTCTGTATGAGAAATGGGAAACCATGTAGGACTATGTTAACAATCATAGCTCATGCCAGCAACCATGTTGGTCGTGGTTAGAAACCAGTCAAAGTATTTCGAGTGAGGCACTTGGTATGAAAACTTTGAGGCTTCAAAGGGGGAAAGCTAATTAGTAGTTCTATTACAAAGAGCCTAGAAGTGAAGATATTTTAAGAATAAATATCTCCATTGTACTACCTATAGAATGAGATGCATATGGACAAAGGGTACCAAAGCCTTACCCTATGTATAAATTGATGTGCACTTTATAAAGGAAAATTAATTTTATAATGATTTGGTTTAATCAATTAATGAGGGTATGGTAACTAGAACATGTTAATTATGTTATAAACATGATTCTATTACTAATGCAACATTAAATTGATTTAAAGGAAATTATAAACTAATACTATTGAACTATTATCTCATTCTTTAAAGATAAAGTAAAAGTTTTCTACTTCTTAGGTATATGAAAAAATGATTAACATATTGCTCAATACCTTCAACAATTATGTGAAAATTGTGGGGGTGACAAACATGAAGGAAAATTTGGAATTCTATTTCCTGACAGAGGGAAGTTTTCTAGATTAGTTCATAAGCACCACGTTTTTGTGGAGAGAGGCTTAGATGTTCAAAAGAGTTTAAATTTCTCTTATACAAGGTATGAGAAGGTTAGAGACCTTCCTATAAGTACCACAAATGTGGGGGTGTCTAATTGAGTATTAGAAGGTTACTCAATTGGCACAATTATTAAGTCTTAAAAAAATAAATTAAATGCTCAACATAGTACAACTACTCTTGAATGGAATTTATTTCCATATATGAAATTATGATGGCAATATATTACAGAAATAGTCAACCTAGTGGATCCAATATTTAAAGGTCAGACTAGAGAGTTAGTTGATCATCGAGGGGAATGAGAGTATAAGCCTAAATATTTAAAGACTCCATAGTGGATACCCAACCCAGCTGACTGGAGATCCCAAGATCTAGGTTCAAAAGGGACAACCAAATTATGTATGACTAAGTAGTAGCACTACCGAGATTACATCTCCTACCCATGTCCTATGATGAAACAGTGCTGCCTGTAAGTGTGTTTTAGGGTAATCTTTGATTTTAATGATTCCTATAGCTTGGAAATCCGAGTGGGGTAGTGTAGGATACTCTTAATAGGAAGTCACCTATGTGAGTGTGAAATGAGGCCGTTTCTATGAGAATTTTTTAAGGCTTGAATCCTCTAAAGCTCTCATGAATACCAAGAATCACTCAGGGCCAAAACGAGCATAACTGATCGAACCAGATATGTTTAGAAGGGTATTGTGTGAGTGCTATTGTCTAGGTTTACACAAACGGCTAAACATTTCAAGACATAATGTTCACTAATTAGCCAAGTAAATCTGATAGTATTCCACTATGGAAGGTTCATAAGGCCAAAAGCTACCTATCCAGATGCAGTATTCTTCTAATAGGGGCTCTCTCTAGTGTCTTCATTTTTTGTTTGCATGTTGTTAAGTCAATTTCCATTTATGTGGGGGATTGTTGGAAATTTAATATTAACTAATATTAATTTTCCTATTTGAATGGAAATTAATAAAATCCATTGGGTTAAAGACATGACCCTTGGGTTAAAGACATCTTCACATGGGGGGTGACAACCCTTCGAACCAAATGATGCATTGTTTGAGGTGATAACTCTTCAGACCAAGGGATGCATTGTTTGCCTTTTCATATTATGATACCTTTTTGGAAAGGGTATTCATCATCTATAAATAGAGCAATCCTCCTGTAGTTTTATTCATTCAGTTTAATTTTCTACATACAGACTTTCATATATAGAGAGCATTAGAGTTTTCATAAAGAGAGGTTCATGTATAATTTGATTCAAAGTTCCTTGTGAATTGCAGTGCTTCTTTCACAAGGAGGGGAGTCGTTGTATCATGGGAGGGGAACGCTAGTGAACCATAAGCACCAGTGTGGGGCGTAATTCGTCTTAAGGTCAGATTGTCCAACACTTGACTCGACTCAATTAAAGTTCTTCTAATTCAATTCTCCTTTTGTAAAAATTTGTTTTATGTGCGGTTTTTATTTTGTTTATTTTATAGCAATTTAGCACTCATATTTCCAACAAATACACCATAACATACAACACTACTTGTTGAACAACTCAGCTTGGAATGAATTGCCTAAAACGCTCATATCATATTTGCATTGAACGGGAACTACCTGTTTATTATTTTATACCAGTGAGAACAAATTAACCATTGAGGGCTATAGAATCTACTGACAAATTCGACCAGCAACCAAAAAAATAAAAGGAAACCAATGGGTTTTCAGTTGTTGCAGAGAATTGGATGGTTTAAAAATGGAAAAAAGAAAGTGATATCGTATAAAACAATAATATATATACATCATGCTGTCCAGATGAGGACACGACAAAGAGTGATCACGTTGTCCGTCCGGCGAATCGGCGTGCTTTTGTACTTTCCTTTGTTTAGGGTATTGCACCTTGTTTAGTGCTTTTGCATTCATTGACCTTGCTGCATTTTCCAGATGCTATGTTTTCTTCTGTTTTGCTTTCTTTTTCTTCAAACCTTTGCTGGTTTCTTCTGAAATGACATCTGGGTGGAAAATGCAGCAGTATTGGCTAGGTCTGAAACACACAGAGACCAAAATCATCAATGACCATCGTTAGCTGCCATTGTCAACATGTATGCGGTGGAGTTTCTCTTTGTTGACACCGGATGACGTCGAAATGCAAATGGGTTGGTTTTTTTTACTACTCTCTCCTTTCTTTTTCTCTTTCTCTTCTGATGATCTTTCTTTTTTTTTTTTTTTTTCTGTTTCAAATCTTGTTTAAGTCCCATTTGGATTCATCACCAAAACCAGATCATTTTATCACTTCTGCTCACCCACTGAACTGAGAATCTGAGATTCCCCCAAAAAGCTATGAATTAGCCTCCCTCCGTTGATTCATTGTGACCCTTGTAAATAGCCGACCTAATATTTATTTTTAACTCACTTGATTTATTAGTTTTTGCAACTCAAAAACAAAGACTTACTTGTTCCATTTCTTCAAGAAAAGTAGCACCTGGGCTTTTACCCCCTAGGCTTTGGGAGGATGGGCTTCCTCTTTCTATTGTTGGTGCGGTTTATTTTTCCATCTTTGGGCCCCTTGTCCTGGGGACTTTCTTTGCAATCTTTTATTTGCATATATTAAAGGACAAAAGTACCCTGTATGTTGCGTTCGCATGAGCCACTATTAATGTAATTAGCCCGTTGTTTTTTGGGGAGAGGTTAAGAGCACTTTCATCCATTTGCTATGACAAAGGGTAAAGATAAGGCAAGGATTGTTACCATTCAAGTAAATAGTAGCAGCCCTTGCAAAAGGTTATGGTGTTTCCGTCTATTGTCATAGCAACAACTATTCACATAAGATATGATAAGAGAAATTTGTATAGAATTTTGGTATGCAAAGTGAAAAATATAACTAAGTATTTATTTTTTAAAAAAGTTTGAAAATTTTTTGCATATTTTTTTTAAAAATTTTTTGTTACTGATGTTACCGTTGACGTTAGCAAACCGGGCTTGAGTTCGGGCAGGCCTAGTTTCGTGGGTATGCCACTAACAGCAAACCACGTAAGTGTCCCAAGCCAATAAAAAAATCGCACCAAATATTGATGCGATAACGTCAGCAACAAAAAAATTTCTCCAGCCATGTATTGATTTCTTCTCCAGATCTAAGGAATCTCTCCTGCCATTCATTATCATAAAGTATTATCCTTTTTCACCTTTTCAGTTAAATATATTAAACAAAAAAACAGAGAGAAATCAATAAATGATGCGTGGGTGTTAAAGGAGTGACTGTAGAAAAAGTGTAACACCAGAAATAGTAGAAGAACAAAGTTTTTTTTTTTTTTACGGACTACAAGAGGAATGGGGGAGAGAGAGAGAGAGAGAGAAGAGGAAGAACATAGGTGAAAATACTTTGTAAATTTTAATTTGAAAAACAAATTGATTGTGTGGGCTGGGTGATTGAAGAGAAAAAGAGGAGTGAATGCAGGGGCGCGTGGGTGGTGACGACGGTGGAGTCGTCATTGAAGAGAGAGATTAATGGATGAGAGAGAGAGGAAAAAATGGGTTCAGAACATTTTTTTAATATTTAAAATTGGAAGAAAATTAGTTGCCAGCTGTCAAGATTTTATTGACTTGGGATACTGACGTGGTTTGCTGACGGTGGCATCCCAGGAAGTTTTTCTCCAGGTCAAGGCCGCTGGAATCATGACACGGGGCTTGGGCCCCCTATTGCCCTGGCAAGGGCTGTCCGATAATGAGGTGTTAGAAGAAAAGGACGCCAATCCCCACATGATTTCTTTATGATATATCTTTATGATGGTGAGATACTCCTCAATAGCCACGCTTTAAACACCTCGTTATAGTTTTATTAGCCTCCATATCCGGCGGCCGCATTTCACTCGCCATATCTTCTTCCATTCAGTACTCGCAGTCGCAGAGTGGTTTTCAAGTGGTGGGTAAATAAAATCAGAATTTGTTTTCTAGTTCGTCACTTCCATTATTTAGTTACTCGTTTTACCAAACTCGCTTGTTTTTTCTTCCTTTTCGTTTGCGTGTAACAGCAATTCTATGTCTATGGCATCTGTTCTGCCTGTAAATCGGGATGATATTGCGGTAGGCTTTGGCCCGCATGCACCGTCCAGCGGTAAAGGCTCACGTGTCCTTCACATCACCCCACAGGCTCATAGCCGGAAGAAGAAAGCGTAAGAACTCTATTTTTTATTTATTTTTTATCTTTTTCTGATTTAGATCAGGTTCAAGTGTTAGATTATGACCGTAATTTGACGAATTTAGGAATTCAATCAACTGTTCTTATCTGCATATGTTGATCCATCACGTTTTCTTTAATGCATTGTCAATGTTAGTGCGTTTTGAGAAATTTACATGTTTGGGATACAGCTTTTTTGTGAGAATTAAAAAGATAGCTTTGAAAATAAGAAGACAATAGAATTGTTGAACTGAACTTGTTATTCATTGACTGAAACAGGCTCTTCTTATAGAGGAGCGTACAAACAACTAATTAGTAAATAAACAGGAACAACAAAAACACGTCTAACAAACTCCATCCATTAGAGGGATTCCTAAAGACTAGGAAAGGAAACAACTGACTCCTATAAAATAGGAACTAACAATTATTCTGCAGAAAACATAATTAAGATAAATCTCAACATCCTCCCTTAAACTGAATGTCATAAGACATGGCAAAGCAAATTTCCAACATCTTCCTGAGCTTCAAGAAGATCAAATCAATGGATATCTGCAGCTTGGTCTTCACTTTTACAAAAGATCAAATCAATGGTACCATCATTAAACAGATCACGTAGGAAATAGAACCTCACATCTATATGCTTACTCCTTCCATGCAAAACTGGATTTTTGGACAGCTTGATTGCATAAATATTATCATAGAACATTGGTGTGGGATCTTGCCGATTAAAATTGAGCTTTCCAAGTAGCCTCCTTAACCAAATAGCTTGGCATGCACAAGATGCTGCAGCAACAAACTCTGCTTCAGTAGTCGATAAAGTCACAATTGGCTGTTTCTTTGAAGACCAAGATACAGCTGCTGATCCCATTGTAAAAACATGTCCTGATGTGGTCCTTCTAACATCCAAGTCTCCAGTGTAATTGCTGTCGCTAAAGCCAATCAAACCATCCTTGTACCCTTTTTATAAAGTATGCCAAAATCAGAAGTTCCTTTTAAATAGCAAAAGATCTTCTTTGCAGCAAGTAGGTGCAGACTTGTAGGATATTCCATATAACAACTTATGAGGCTGACTGCATGCATTACATCTGGCCTGGTGGCTGTGACATACATCAAACTTCCTACAATTTGTTTGTAAAGGGTGCTGTTTACTTTCTCTCCTTCAGAATCCTTTGTTAGCTTCAAACCACATTCAGGAGGAGTGCCAACAGGATTGCAATTTGACATCCAAAGCCTGTCCAAAATAGTCTAAACATACTTCTTTTGGGATATGAAAATCCCAGCAGGAGATTGTTCTACTTTAATGCCAAGCAAGTAGTGCATCAAACCTGCCATCATTGATTTCTTAAAAACATCAATCATAGTCATATCATTGCCTGTATAGATTAAATCATCTACATACAAACAGACAATAAGAATTTTTCCACCAGCACCAATTTTAGTAAACAACGTTTGTTCATACGGACACTTTTGAAAACCTTCTTTAGCAAAATAAGCATTTATACGGTTGTACCAAGGTCTAGGTGCTTGTTTCAGCCTGTATACTGCTTTTCTCAACTTGTATACCTTCCCTTCCTTTCTGGGCTGCACATATCCAGGAGGTTGATCGACATAGACTTGTTCTTGTAAGCTCCCATGTAGGAACGCTGATTTCACAAGATGGGCCATGAGTTTTGTGCTGCCAGTGAAAGTACCAGTCTGATTGTATCCATCGTTGCGACCAGAGCGAACACTTTGTTATAATCAATGCCATACTTCTGCTTATATCCTTTAGCCACCAGCCGTGCCTTGTATTTGTCAACTCCACCCTCCTTGTTCAGCTTCCTCATCCATGGCTCTTCGCCATTTGGTTTCTTTGTGAGCTTCTTGAAAGGTTACAGGATCAGAGTCAGTAAACAGTGCAAAATAAGTCAGTCAATCATCTTCAGATTGATCATCACTAACCTCATAATCCATCATCCATGCTGGCCTTTTCTTTGTGCATTGGGGTCAAAAACTAGATGGATGGCTTTCAATAGAGGGCTGCAATTGCTTTTCAGTTTCTTTGCTTGCCGCTTGTTCATAAAAAATAACAGAAATCTGCTGCTGCTGCTTTGAGCCTTTATCTATCCAGTCCCATATTGTTTCTTCATCAAATAATACATCACGACTGATGATGATCTTCCTGGTGGTGGGACTGTACAATTTATAGGCCTTTGAGTGCTCACTAACCCCAAGAAAAATACACTTTTCTCCCTTATCATCAAGCTTCTTTCTCTGCTCATCGGTAATGTGAACATATGCTATACAACCAAAATTTTTGAAGTACTTTACAGCTGGTTTGTGACCATTCCAAACTTCTTCAGGCGTCATGTTTTTGACAACAAGAGTTGGACTTCTATTTAAGATGTGAATACACCAATTTACTGCTTCTGGCCAGAACATTTTTGGAACACCACGAATTTTCAGCATTCGGTTCTTCCTTTCACAAATATCATTTTGTTGTGGTGTATATGGTGCCGTTAGTTGCCTTCGAATTCCATGTGTCACACAGAAATCCTGAAATTCTTGTGAGATGAATTCTCCACCACGATCAGTTTGAAGAACTTTTATATTTCTTCCGACTTCGTTTTCAACAAGGGCTTTAAAGCTTTTAAGGGCTGAGAAAGCTTCAGATTTTGCCTGCAAGAAATACACCCAGGATTTTCTATTGTACTCATCAATGAACGTAATGAAATACCTCTTGCCACCATTGGAAGTTGGATTGATGGTCCACAAATATATGAGAAAATAAGCTCCAAAGGTTTTTTTGTGGCTCTCCATGCTTTTCCTTTCGGAAAGGTTTCACGATACTGCTTTCCAAGAACACATTCTTCACAAATTTGAGGTGGACGATCAATGTTTGGAAGACCACTCACCATGTTCAGCTGTTGTAGAGTCTTCAATCCCTTGAAATTTAAGTGGCCATAACGATAATGCCACAACCAAGCCGTCTCCTTCACTTTGGCAGAAAAACAAGTCTGGCCCACACTTTGAATATGCAGAGGAAACATACGATTTGGTGTCATTTTGGCCTGTGCAATGAGTCCCTTCTTTCAATCTTGAATCTGACACATTCCTTCTTTAATTGTGATCTCATAGTCTTTTTCCTGAAGCTGCCCCACAGTTAATAAATTGCTTTTTAAATCTGGGACATAGATGGTTTGTGTAGTGTTATCCTTAGTCCAGATTGAAATATTGCCTTTTCCCATAACAGAAATTGCAGAATTATCACCAAAATGAACAGTAGATCGAAAAGACTCATCTAAGTAATAGAATGATGACTTGTTACCGCTCATATGGTTACAGCATCCTTTGTCAATGTACCATATATCCTGATGAGTGTTCTCAACGGCTTGACACACCAGCAGAAGTGTAGCTTCTTCTTCTTTCTCTGTAAAATTGGATTTTTCTCCCCTTTCTCTATCCATGTCAGTGCGGCATTCCGAACGGTAGTGACCATACCTACCACACCTATAGCACTCAATATTTGATTTGTCGAGCTGTGACTCATGCTAGTTTTGGTGTCTGTATCGATCTTTGCCTTTGTTGCTGGAATCATGATTTCCTCTGTTGCTGGAATCATGATTTCCTATGCCGTCGGAATCATGATTTCCTCTGCCGCCGGACTCATGAGCACCTCTGCCTTTACCTCATCCACAGCCTCTACCTCGACCAAGACCGGAACCTCTCCATGATGATGATGTGTCGTTGCTGGTGGAGACTTTTAAAGCTTTCTCTTCTTTTGAAGTGTCATGACTTTTGAATTTCTGCTCATGTACCAACAGTGAACTATGCAATTCATCTAATGACATTGTTTCAATGTCGTTTGCTTCCTCAATTGCACAAACAACACAGTTAAACTTTGGTGACATTGAACGCAGAATTTTTTCAATGATTGTGACATCATCCATCTTGTCACCATGAAGCTGCATCTTACTTGCAATTGCCATCGTTATCGAGAAGTATTCATCAACAAAATCTTCTGGTTTCATGTGATGAGTTTCAAAATCTCTCTGGAGTGCTTGAAGCTGCGCACGCTTCACCTTGGTGGAACCTTGATACTTTTTCTTCATAGACTCCCATATCTGCTTGGAAGTGTCCTTATGGAGAATGGTCTCCAAAATGGATCGATCAATCACTTGGAAGAGGTAGTTTTTCACTTTCAGGTCCTTCAATTTCTGTTCATCAAGTCTTTTCTGTTGCGCTTCTGTCAACAATGCTCTCTCTGTGGTTCAGTAATTCCATTTTCAATGAGACTTCAATACACTTTGGATCTCAGAAAATTCTCCATTAACATGCCCCAATGGTCATAATGACCACTGAAGCGAGGTATGGCTGGCTGCACGTAGTTCTCTTGAACCTTGTCGGATGCCATCAAGCCTTGCTGCTGCAAGTCAAGAAAGCTGCTGCTATTTGGAGAATTTTAAGTCAGGCCCAATGGGGCTTCTGATACCAGATTGTGAGAACTAAAAGACAGTTTTGAAAATAAGAAGACAATAGAATTGTTGAACTGAACTTGTTATTCATTGACTGAAACATGCTCTTCTTATAGAGGAGCGTACAAACAACTAATTCGTAAATAAACAGGAACAACTAAAACACGTCTAACAAACTCCATCCACTAGAGGGATTCCTAAAGACCTGGAAAGGAAACAACTGACTCCTATAAAATAGGAACTAACAATTATTCTGCAGAAAACATAATTAAGATAAATCTCAACATTTTTATCATTTGGCTAGATCAGACACTCATACTGTTGCAGCTTTGAGATACAGCTTTTTATCATTTGGCGTTTCCTTCTGAAAACATGCATCATTGGTGTTTGCAAAATTAAGTAATTCATAGGTCTTTGGTATTCATATGTTTTCTGTAGTGTTTCTGTTAATTAGTTGTTTGAGCGTTTTTGTATCCTCGCGGTATGTCCAACAACAATAAGTGCATGAATTGTGGATATCATCAACATATTATATTGCTCTTATTGTGTCTCTCCTTTGTCTTGATAAAAAATTTAATTCAAGTGTTCAACTATTTCCTCTGTATAAGCAGAGTAGAGGAGGTTTTCTCTCGTGCACATGGGTTAGTTGCAGCTAAGGGCACATGAATTACTTCAGCTATTAGATTGAGGGTGATGAGAGTGCAGTTGACGTTGGGTTTTAGGATTGTCGGACTAATGGCTGAAGTAACTCATCCGCAACTCGTGTGCATGAAAGAAAAGCTCGTGAAGGTAGAACCCTTGGTTACCACTCTGTTGTCTACTAATTTCTACATTTTCTTCAATGTCCCAGCCTTGGCCCTGCCACTTCACGCCACAGTCCATCTTCTGCAATACTGGTGAGTTTTCACACAATTCTTTCCTTTCTATTTCATAAATTCCAAAATTTATATCTTGCGCGGTTTTTAACTCAGTTTTGTATATGGAACCAAAAGAACAAATAAAGGTGATATTCATTATCTACGTTATGTAATCTATAAGATGCGTTCTTGTTCTCACAGTTTTGCTTGGTTCCAAGAAAGATATAGTTTTGGTTGGACTAATATTCTGAATATTTACCTTCCTGCCTGCCTTGTATACTTGTATTCCTGGTTCTACAAATTTTTTCTATTATTTGCTTGCGCTTGTTGTGTACTTGTAGTCTCCAAACGATGTTCCGAATAATTATCATATTTGTAAGAATAATAATTTAATTTGTATATATTATGATTCAACATTTCTCCTTTTTAAAATTATTTTCTGGGTTGTGTATATCTCGACTGTGTCTATTCAGCCTCCGCAAACTAGTATTCAGGAAGGATTTGCGACGAATCCGATTTCAAGTGTTTCAAGTGGTATAGAATCACGTGCTGGTCATGTTGAGCCACAAGTTCTTGAATCAGTTGAAATTGCCCCAGCAGAAAGTTCCCCTGGAACTGGAATTACATCAGACAACCAAAGGTTCACAGGGAAAGGTCACAGAATTATGGAAAAGTAAGAAGCTTTATTGATTCATACCTCTCCTCTAACCAATTGTCAGCTGATTTTGAGAAAGTTAGTCCCTTGAACAGTTTATCTGTTTGGAATATCTACCTAATTTGGTGTTTAACAATAACTATACCTGCTATTTCTCATCTCTTGCTCTATTCCGTATTGTTTGTAGTTGTTTAATTAAGAAAGCTGCAAGAGTAATAACTAGCTAACTGTACGTGAAATTCATTGAACTCTGGGTCTACTTCGTTGTCGATGTAGAGAATTTCTTTTCATATTTGGAAATATCTTCTGAAAGTCTACAGTGTTGGTTTTTTAAATGAACTGCTTTGGTTTTTATATGCTTTATGATGTATTCATGTTAATTGGCTACTGATCTTTTTCTGATTTGGGACCCTTTGTTATTACTGTGTGGCTGTGTTTGCCTATGATTGGATTGGATTGGTAACTCACTAGATTGAAGGTATGTTGAAGGAAGAGATGGAGGCCATCTTCCACACTCGGTCCAAGTTGGAGGTAGAAGATGGATTAGTAATGAAGGAAACCTTATAATTTCCCACATGATGAAAAATCCTTCTGCTCTACCTTCATTTTTTATTTCAACATACCTTGAATCTAATGAGGTATCCAATCCAATCCTAGGCAACAAACGTGGTCTACGCTTGTAAATGTTTTGTAGTGTACTGTGTACCAGGTCACTTTTATGTTCTTTGATGTTATGGCACCAAGAATTTCTCGTGTAATTTTCCAAAATTATCATTTTTTTTCATAACTTCTTGTTGTCAACTATGCCTCTGCGGAATCACCAGGAAGTTCAAGAAGTTGAAGCAAAAGCTGGCTCGTTTGACTCAAAAGTGCTTGCCTGAGAAAAAGAAGATTCAACATTTTCACGGCTTTTCTTAGCGTCTCATGCAGTTTTGAGGAGAGTTCCAGTTTTGATTACTGAGGTGAAAATTTGTAAAAGAAGTCAAAATGGACAAAATTCCCTTTATTTATTTTTGGATTTCCTAAGGAATCCTTTACATTTGCATGTCTTTGATTTGAAAGTTGAGATGTTTTTTTGTCTTTTTTGAAAAAGCTTTGGCTTTTTCCAAAAGTGAAATTTTTTTTTTGGCTAAAACCTAAATTTACTTTGAATTTATAGATATTGTGTTTATTATACTATTCTAATGAAACAAGACTTATTATGGTTTAAGGTAACCCGTATCTCTCCCTCTCTTTTAAAACAATAATGCAGGAGAAATTATATATATATTTTTTATATTACACTATTTCCTTGGCACACGCGCGCTCACACCAATTGGTTTTATAAAAAAAAATTATTTTATTTTATTTTAGAATTAAAAAAGATAATGGGTAGTTGTGTTTCATAAATATTGGACCCATTATCGGATTTTGTTTTTAATTTTAATTTTTTTAATATGAAAAAGTGAATTTACCATATTCTCTACCTTTTACTTTATATATGTACAGTCCTCTTCTATTGCTTTTACTTTATATATGTACAGTCCTCTTCTATTGAGAGATCCCTCAAATTATTTTATTTGAGGGCCACCCTTTAGGGTCCCCTACTAATTTTTTTTTTAACTCCAAACCATCTATTTTTTAATTCTACATTCATAAATCATCCTTGTAAAAAATTAAACAAATCAGAAACTGTTTCTACATCTAATTGTGTCTTACAAAATCAAAGAACACGGTGCTTCAAGAAAGTACAAAAATTTCAACAATTCAATTGAGTAGTTGAATGATAATGGATTCAAGTGAGTTTTTGTAGAAATGATCTTTGAATGAATATCTACAAAATAGACGGTTTGGATTAGTGAAATACAATACAGAGTGGGCCTACAAGGGTGTCCTTCAAATAAGAGGATTTCTCAACTGAATAGATAAATGATGTGACAAGGAACAACAACAACAACAATGTAGTGGTAGTATTATAATAATATATAGTAGTAGTAATAAAAATAGGGCAATGATTTCCCTACTCCTATTTTATCCACTTACACTCCTTTTTTATAAAAAAGGAGTGTAAGTGGATAAAATAGGAGTAGGGAAATCATTGCCCTATTTTTATTACTACTACTATATATTATTATAATACTACCACTACATTGTTGTTGTTGTTGTTCCTTGTCACATCATTTATCTATTCAGTTGAGAAATCCTCTTATTTGAAGGACACCCTTAGTAATAATAATAATTTTGGATAGAAATAGTCAGTTAAATATGGATGGGAAAAGTATGAATAAAATATGTATGTGTTTTATTTGAAAAAATTTGTGAAAAGTATGAAAAATTTGGCCACTATATAATATTTTAATATAATCTATTTACAAGTTGTAATATATATTATTTTTATTCTATAGTATATGGAAAATACGTGTATAATATGTGAATATTGTGTGCATTACTGAAAGTTTTGTAAAAAAATACGTGTATTAAACATGAGGAATATGTACATATGTGTATAATATGTGTTTTGTACATTTAATTTTCGTTTAAAAAAAAATGGATTTTACTAAGTCTGTTAGACATGTACAGAAAACATAAGTATTTTTGAAAAATATGTAAGTATGGGTATAATACAAGTTTAATACGGGAAAAATGCTAAGTATAGATAGGAGAAATTATAAAATGATACTGTATCGCTATGTCAGCTAGTGATACTCCTACTCAAAATATGCCACATGTACTTTTTAAAACAAAATTAAAATATATTTTACAACTGGACTTTGGCTTACAATTTTACCCTTCAACTTTAATGACCCTAACCATCTTACCTGTGCTATGCCTATGCTATCGACGCCACACAACCCTCTTCCCTTCCCCCTCTCAGCCACCCACCCCCCCTCTCCCTCCTCCTTCCAATATCCCCAACACGAAACCATAAACCTTTAAAAAAAAAAAGAAAAAAACCATTAGTGAAAGAAGGGAAGATTGACGTTATGGGCAACTAGGAATTAATTATGTTACATAGCAAGTCATTGGGGCGGGGCTTGATGAAGGAAATCCACCAAAAATCTCCCTTTTCTACATCAGATTCTTCTTCTTCCTCACCATCTTCATTATCAACTTTCAAGAGGTCTTTTTAAAAGAGTAAGAAGTTCAAAGATTACCCATCTTTTTTAGCTTCAATGGTGTCTCCAGCGATAAAATGGTAGAGCTTTACCGGATTTTGTTTGTGGGTTTTAAGTCCTTTGACAATAGAAGTTCTTTAGATTCATTAACTATGAAGACGGTGAAGGCTGGGGTAGGTGGTGAGGGAGAAGGGAAGACGTGTGGTGTCGCAGATAGCAGGCATAGCGCAGGTGAGAAGACGGTGGACAAGGAAGACGGTGGGGAGGGGTTTGGATGATTAAAGTTGAAGGGTAAATTTGGTAGCCAAAGTCCAGCTGTAAAATATTGTTTAATTTTGTTTAAAAAAAATACATGTGGCAGATTTTGAGTGGGAGTATCACAGCTGACATGGTGATACAGTACCACTCCATAATTTTTCCTACAAATAGAGTTTTGTTGCCTAGGGAATCAACCTTGGAGGGGGGGGGGGTGAAAGGTTAATTGCAAATTTAAATTTAAACACAAATAAGTACAATAATGAAGAGATAAGAAAGAGAGATTCAAACTCAGAGATTTATACTGATTTAGTCCACCTGACCTACATCTAGTCCTCAAGCACACCACATGAGAGTTCGATCCACTATCTTGGAAAAACTCCTTGCAAGTGGAGTTGAAACCTTTACACTGTCAGAGCACATTACTTCTTCACAGCTAGAGCACACCACTCTAATACAAGATGGAAGACACACTTCTCACCTCACAGGGTCAAACCAACCATTTTTACAAGTTTGAAATGAAACAACTCTCGGAACAAAAAAAATCTCTCCTATTGGAGAGAGATATACAATTAAACCTCACACAAAGATAACTCTCCTTTCTTAGTAGATGATTACAAACGTAATTTTGGACACTATACAAGGAATGGCTCAAGAGAAAATGATATTCAAAGGATGATGAATGCTTGTAAGCTTGGATTATGTTGAGTTGTTGTTATCACCAAAAATTTGAATATATATTTATAAGTATAGAAATATAGCTGTTGGAAAGATAGAGCCGTTAGGAATATAGCTGTTAGGAAATATAGCCGTTAAAAATATAGTTGTTGGTAAGTATAGCCGTTAAAAATATAGCTATTAGAAAATAGATTCGTTGGAACAGTGTTTAGCTAACTTTATTTCCATTTCCAAATGTTAGAAAATAAATGTCTTTGTTCTTTTACTTTCATTTATTTTTATATTACTCCATTTACTTTAGTTTACAATGTAAATAAATTCAACATGCGATTTGGAATAAAATTGAAGGCTTAATAAGTCAACATATACTTCATATAAAAATCTCATAAAATCAGGTTTTCTTATTTGATATGTAGGGAATAAAAGCCGTCAAAAATTATCTTCAAAAAATGAAAATTCTAAAAAAGCATTTGTCATACTTAGCCAAAATTTTGATAAAACAATTTTGCATGTATGATATGAAAGGAACCTAAGGTTAATCTAGGTAAAGAGCATTAGATGTTCTATTCACAAAGAGTTTTACAAGAATAACCTAACTCTTCTATATTAAAGAAATATCTGCTTGAGTATTGGCTTCTTGCTTCAATGTTCCAAAAGTCTTCCAGTGTGTACAGTATTTTTGATCCATTTGAAAACAACTGTTCCTTACAACTTATTACACTTGAAATACATTAGATAAATAAGGAACAATAATGCCTCGTATTATTGATGACCAGGAAGTGAAAAAGTTCATTCCACCTTCCTACCAAGAGATGAAAAATTCAGAAGGCAAAACACCAAGAGATATATTGATTGAAGAACATAAAATCGTTATTGGGAAACGGAGAATGTGGTTACCATCCCAATGCATAAACCAAGTGCAATGGAGGCTCTAAATCAAGGTAAACCACCACAGGGCTCCCAATATTTATAACTTAAAGCCACAAAAAAAATAGGGAGTTTCACTAAAACACCCAAAATGAGGGTTGAAATTATAAAAAAAACCCAAGCACTATTTAAACATAGAAACACACCCAAAATTAACCCCAAAGTCAACTTTTTGGATGTATTTATAAATGAGTTTTGAGTGTGTGTAATGATGGGTTTTGGGTGTGTTTATATGTTTAAATAGTGCTTGGGTTTTTTTTATAATTTCAACCCTCATTTTGGGTGTTTTAGTGAAACTCCCTATTTTTTTTGGACCTATATTGTCAATGGGTTTAGTAAAAAATGACCTTAATTTGAAAATTAGTGGTCTCAGGTTCGAATTCCCATGGTCATTTGATAGTGTGTATGTGAGAAACCCCATTTCATCTTGTAGTTTAAACTATCGCTTGTACTTAAAAAATGACTTAATATCACAAGATGTCCCTAAGGTTTACAAAACAATCAGATTGCATCCTTAATGTTTTTTTTTTTTGTCATTTGTAGTCCTCAAGGTTAGTATGTATGATCACAAATGATCCATGTTATTAGATTACGTCAAGAACTCCATTAGTTTGCTGACGTAGCATATATATATATATATATATATATATCACAAAACATATTTGAGGTTCGCGCACCTATCACAAATGGTCTTTACAAAAAAAATTTATATCTTCATTTAAAATTCATAAAATTTTGGTTTTCTTTTTTAAATTATTTAAAAATATATATTGTATTTTGAATACACATGAAACTATATTTTTGAAGATGTGGGCTCCATATATATACCACATCAACAAACTAATGAAGTTTTTTTAAAATAATTTAACATTCATAAATTTTAAAAATGAAAAAAACCCCTTATAGAATGACATTTTAACCTTGAGGACCATTTATGAACCCTAAATCCTTGGTTTTTTTTTTTCATTTTTCATTTTATGAATTTTAAATTATTTTTTAAAAAACTTAATTAGTTTGTTGGTATGGCATATA